TCTCGCTGCAATGATTTTACTTTTGACCCACCTTTTTGTCAATTCCATTCTAAATATGAAAAAGTGTTAATTGGAGACAATTTTACAGCCCTATGTGACCTAAGGGTTAATATTAACCTTATATCTCTTTTTTAATTCAAGCCAACAATTATCTTTATACAACTAGAAGATAGATCAATCACATATCCAAGGAGCATAGTGTAGATGTACATGTAAAAGTGAATAAATTTATATTTATTGCAGATTTTGTGGTTCTTGATATAGAGAAAGATGAAGAAATACTAGTCATCTTGGGGAAATGATTCTTAGCTATCACAAGAGCCCTCATTGATGAACAACAAGGAAAATTGACATTAAGGGTTAATGATGAAGTAATATTTAGAGCATATGCTTCTTTAAAATACATCTTCTTTTGACAATTGTAACTATATTTCTACTCTTGATATCTTATGTGGTCTTAACTCTTTTTTATATGCAAGATATGTGTATGTAGGATAAATTGAGAAGATTATTAGAACTTGGAGAAAATTGCCTACATCATCTATGGTGTAAAAGAAGAGTCCATGGCCTTAGATGTTAAACAAAACAAGGGAGCTTAGGAAGGGACTAAGTAATTTGAAGTAATGGAGAAGCTCAAAAAATCAAAAACCTAAACCATCAATAGAGTAACCTTCTAAATAAACCTCCCCCTTTTAATCTTAAGTATGTCTTTTTTTTTTTTTTTCTCCTAACTCCTAATTGTTATTATTTCTACTTCTTCAATATGAGCTATAGATGAAAAACTACTAAGAGTTCTTTGAGACCTTAAAGAAGCCTTTGGGAGAAGGGGGAACTGTTCCTGACATTAAGGAGATCATTCCTTAATTTTCACCCATAAGATTTACGTAGAAAAAGAGAACAAACCAAAGGTCCAACCACAACAAAGACTAAACACAAGCCTAACCGAGGATGTGAAGAAAGAGGTAACAAACTTTTTGATGCTAGATTATTTATCCAATTTTAGACTGCTTATAGGTAAACCTAGTATAAATGGTACCTAAGAAAGAAGGTACTACAATGATAAGGAATGACCAGAAAGAGTTAATTGCAGTAAAAAAAATAACAAAGTGACATGTATTCATTGATTATAAACAATTAAATTATGTCACCAAAAAGATAACTTCTTTCTTCTTTTTATTAATCAAATGCTTGAAATATTATTTAGTCATGAACATTATTATTGTCTTGATGAGTATTGTGGCTATATGTAAATTTAGCTATTGAAGATCAAGAGAAAACAATTATTTCCCATTTTTGTACTTTTGCATATAGGTGATGCCTTTTGGATTGTGTAATACACATGATACATTTCAATATTGCATGACAATTATCTTTTTGTCTTGTTAGAAAATTGTTTAGAGGTTTTCATGGACATTTTTTTTTTGTTCATGAGCAATCTTTTGATAAATTTTTAAGTAATTTGTTAGAAAATTATTTAGAGATTTTCATGGACATTTTTTTTGTTCATGAGCAATCGTTTGACAAATGTTTAAGTAATTTATTAGAAAATTGTTTAGAGATTTTTGTGGACATTTTTTTTGTTCATGAGCAATCTTTTGACAAATGTTTAAGTAACCTTGAGGTAATACTTAAAAGATGCAAAGACACAAAATTAGTTTTGAATTAGGAAAAGTGTGAATAATGATGAATAAGAGTAATGTCTTGAGGCACAAAATTTCTAAGAGGGAAATTGAAGTAGATCCTATTTAAGTTAAATTAATTATGAACCTTCTCCTTTATAAATGTGTTAAGGATGTTGAGAGTTTATAGGGCATGCAAATTTTTATAAGATGTTTATTAAAGATTTCTTTAAAATTGCAAGACTCCTTTTTATCTTGCTTGCTAAAGATGTTCATTTTATTTATTTTTATACCTATTTAAATGCATTCTTGACGCTTAAGGACAAATTAACAACTATACTTATGATTGCTCTTAACTGGTTTATTATGCCTCAATTAATGCGTTATGCTATTAATCTAGTTGTTGTTTGGCAATACTTAGGTAAAGAAAACAATAATATATTTAGGAAATTCACTATAACTGGGAAAACCTTACATGAAACTCAGAAGAATTCCACCACCACAAAAAAGGAATTGTTGGTTGTGGTGTATACATTTGATAAAATTTATATCATACTTGATAATGTCTAAAGTTATTGTATCTACAAACCATTCCCTCATTAAGTATTTGTTTGTTAAACAAGATGTTAAGCCTAAATTAATTAGGCGAGTACTCATTTTTCAAGAGTTTGATTCATAAAGGAAGGACAAGACAAGAAAGAAACAAAAGTCAAGTTATAAATCATCTATCTTATATTAAGTCTTTCACTTCTAAAGAAGAAGAAGGAAACATAAAAGAACCCCCTCTTTCCAATGAGTACTTGTTGGCTATTACTTAAGTTCTATGGTATGTTGATTTGGTAAATTATTTGGCAAGTAATATCATTCCTCTAACCTCTCGTTAGTATAGAAAAATAAGTTCATTTATGACATTAGACATTATTTATGAGAGAAACTTATTTATTTAAAATTTGTGGAGACAAAACAATCAAAAGATGTCTCCTTAAGAAAGAAATGTATGTTATTTTGAAACATTGTCACTTCAAGGAGATGGGTGACCACTTTGACACTTCTAGAAATGTTCAAAAGGTTCTCTAAAGTAATTTTTATTGACCCACACTTTTTAAAGATGTTTATAATTTTATAAAATCCTGTAATAAGTGTAAAAAAAGTGACAATATTTCAAAAAATCATGATATGCCTCTAAATAATATATGAATGTGCGAAATTTGTATGTTGGATGCAAATATTTTAGAGTTATTTCCTAAATTTTTAAATAATGAATATATATTAGTTGTTATTGACTATGTGTCTAAGTGAGTTAAGTTGAGGTTGTGAGTTGTAACTTTAACTACTAATGATACTAAAAAAGTTATTAAATTTTTTAAAAAGAATAATTTTATAAATTTTAGACTCCTAAAAAAATTATCAATGAAGATGGAACTCATTTTGTAAATAAATAATTTAATATATTTTTAACAAAATATAAAATTATACGTTAGATAATCACACTTTATCACTCATAGATTAGTGGTTAAATTGAAATATTCAATAGAAAATTAAAACAAATTTTAGAACATACTATTTATAAACTTTTATTATGTGTGGTTTTTATCTAATTTTTATATTCTATTATTTTTTATCTTATTTAATTAAGCAAACAAATCTTTAAATTATTTATTGATAAAAACTTAAAAAATCTACTAAATTCTAATAAAATAATTAGTTATATCATTTTTATCATCAAATAAATATTTCTTTTAACTTTTTTTTATAAGAACATTTTAATTGAATTACACGTATTAATAAAAAATTATCAAAATTAATTTAATTATATTTTAAATTTATCTCTAATTAAAGTTAAAATACTTTAATAATAAATCAGAGGAAAAAATCTTTTTACACTAGTATAAGTATAAAAAATTTTATATTTAATCTGAATTTTTTATTTAATTTTTATTTAATAATTAATAAAATAATAAACTATAATATATTAAATATAAATTAAATAAAATATTTAGATTAAATATAAAAAGTTTTAGATTTACTATTTTATATATATAAAAGAACTGAAGGACATAGCTTCCTTAATTATTACTTCTATTATTTTATCTTAGAAGAAGCAGGCTATCTTGGAAAGGATCAAAAGTGTAGGGACCGCTTATAATGAAGGAAGTAAATCAAAAAGGTCTCTCCAACCACCGGATTACACCCATTTAATTAGTTGACTTATTGCCTTTCGTTTCAGCATATATTAATTATACTTCAACGTAATATACATACATACATATAATGTTCATTAAAAATACTAATATGGATCTTTACAACTATTTTAAAATATTAGAAAATAATAATTGTATTTTCAAAAATAAGTATTTGTTTCGTAAAAAAAATAAAGTATAATAAATCATTATTTTTCATGTAATAATGATGTAAATAATTTATTCAAATTATATATCTCAATTAATTAAACGAATAAGAAGAAATTAGATAAAAGTGTTTTTGTTATGATATAATAAATTATAAATTAATTAATAATTTTTTAATTTATATTCATCGAATTTAATAGACAGAAGTTACAGAACGGAAGGAGTAATTTTTATCAATTTAAAGAGAAAAACTCCCTACCTTGTCACTAAAAGTGTTTTATTATCTGAAACAAATATATAATGTATGTATGTATATATACTGCTGTGAATCTTAACTCTTGAAGTTGTAAAGGCCTTTAATTGTTAGTAATACTTGACTCAGCGCTTACAAATAGTTGATTGACCTCGCAAACTCTTAACTTGTCTTCGGATAATAATTGGTTAATATTGTAAAACTTTTAGGTAAACCAAGTTTAAAACTCTTGTTTCTGTTAAAAAAAATGTTAGAAATAAAAGAAGTGCGACATATTTTAGAATCAAATAAAACACCATTAATTTTAACAAAAATATATAATGAAATTACTTATTGCCTACCAATGAAGAACTTAATCCGAACAAAAAAAAATCACATAATTATTATAAGTAAAAAAATAATTAGGTGAGATAATTCAAGTTAAAATTTAAGCTTATGATAATGTTATGAATTATTGAATTTAATTTCAATGCATTAGTATATATTTATGTTATTATACGATTTTATTTTTAACATCTTAATGAATCTACTAAAATAAAACTAAATTGAATATCATTTCATTAAGTAACATATCACTGCATCTAAAAAGAAAACAAGCACAATTCTTTTTTTAAGTCATAGTGAATATTATGCTCAAGAAATTCCAGCTGCACGTAAATAAATTTTTTAATAAAACCTCTCCGAGAATAAAGAACATTTAAATAAGGACCAACAAAAAAAAAGTTAAGAGAATAATACAAGCTGTATTGAAAACTAGTAGATTTGGAACATTTAGTTACTATATAAATGGATGCCATTGCTACACCCGCTGAAAGCTCTATCCCCCCTCTTTCTTTGTTCCCGTAGAAGCCTTTCTTCCTTTGTTTTCGTTTTGCTAAAACAAGCATCTCTTCTTCTATCTTTCCATCCTTGCAAAAAGGATAAAGGGTTGCTACCATTTCTAGTTTCATTCTACCATTTGGAGGCACCTCATGCTATAAAAAAAATAATACTAATTATCTTGGAAGGTTTGTCTTGAAACTATAACAACAAAACAATCCTCATCTAAGCAATTGAACTACCCAAAACAAAACACGTGTTGGCCAAAACATCACCTCTCTCATGCAAGAGCTTTTAGATGCTCCTTTATGCTCAACCAATGCTTATGAAAGCTTGTTCTATGTCTGTTGTGCTCAAGATTTAGAGTTTGGGTACGATGTGAGCATGACCCATTAATGTTTCCACAGTTTTTGTTTCTTTGTTTTTTTTTTTTTTTTTTTTTTTTTTGAGATACCCCAAGATTCTCAATTGACAACCTTTGTTCTGATTCTCCCCTGTTTTTCTTTGTGTTCTTCAAGTTCGATTTGTCTTTTCTAGAATCTATGTCTTCTGTGCCAGCACGAACGGGGCGACAAAGACAGCGTTATGAAGACAACTTGCGCCTTGTCTCTGGGTAAGGTTTTTGTTTCAAGGCCATGGCTTCTCTACCTTCAAAATCTCACCTTTTCACTTTTTGTTCCTTACCACCCCCTTTTGACTTATCACTAGTTTTTGTTACATCCAGGCATTTTATAATCCTTATTCAAGATATGGTTCCAATTCTGGATATTGATACATCTGTGTCTTTGCTGGGTTACATTTATCTTCTTTGCTATTTCCTGTTTTGTTTTTGCCCCCTTGTTTCTCTTTCTATGTTTTTGTCTCATATATGCAAATAGAAAATTATTAAAGTCGTATTCAGTAGCAGAAATCTAAATGATTTTTGCTTATGGAATAGAAGCGCCTTCTTAAAAACTGTTTGTACATGATTATCTTCTCTGTTTGATTTTCAACTATTTAATCATAGAACAATGTTTCTCATGCACCCTATTTTTGGTTCTATGATATAGAAAGAAGAGAAAAATAAAAGAACATATATATAATAGATGATATGATGTAGTAAAAAATTTAATAATAAAAAAATTGAGATAAAAGTGAGGTAAAAATATTGTATGAATATATGAAAATAATTATTGTTAAGTATATTTCATGAGGATGTGTCCATTGCAATCATATATCAAAATAGTGGGCCATGTCATTGACTTAACGTCTGTATAATAAAATACTTCAAATTGCGTGATCTGTTTTGGCTTTTATCATAATATAAAACTAGGACAATTTCGAGAGTTATCGGTAACACCATTGATTGGCATGCAGAGTAGTTAACTGGGGAAGTATTATTGTTTATAAAATTATTAAAGTGTTGTCTTTGCCAGTTTCCATGCAAGTCCTGGGATTAGATTCAGCTTGCCATTAGCAGTTGCAGGGAAATTTCGGATCTGTTCCTTTTTTTATCAGGCTTGAATCATTGTTTCTCATTTCCGGCATTCCCTTATGCCCAAGTGGACCATAAAGTAAACAGAAAATAAGAGATTAAACTAAGGAATGGGAAAGACAGACTTAAAAATTTTTATAACTTTTATTAGCTATACAAAAAAAAGAAACGGGTAAGTGGGATTTGGGAAAAGAAATAATTTATAGTCTTGCCTAGGTAGGCAAATTTAACATTTTACTTTTACTTTTGTTTATTTAATTTTATTTTATTTTAAAGCTAAACATTGCGTGGATCCTAAAAGTTCAAAGACCATATTGCGAAAAATAGAAAGCAAGAAGAACACCAGACCTATTTATTACATCATAAGATAATTTATTCTTTCAAGTTAAGAATCATGTCTTGAACGTCTAGCAGGACCATTAGCACAAATTATTGTACACCATGATTATATGCCACTAAAGAAAAATATGTAAGCTTGAGTTTATGTCAAATGATATATTTTCAAAATCGAAGATCACAAGTTCACAATCAAATGCCTACCAATGTAGGGATATCTTTCCTGAAAACAATAGAACTATGAGTGATTTGTTAAAGAAATAAAATTTGAAGCTACAGGAGCCCACCACCAGTGTTAATCTATGTTTTGGAGTTCTGAATGTTGACATAATCATACTTAGATAAATATTCAGGGCTCATTTTGAAGAGTAACTGTTGTGGCTACAGATTTTTTATTAATTTGAGTTGAGACTGCTGAAGCCCTTTCAAGCTATATAATAATATTTGCTAGTAGAGTTTTGAGGACTAACATCTGATGAGAATTGCTACTTGCTACAGAATCTTATCAGTCACATGATTTAATTAATTCTTTTTATGTATTTTAACAGATGTATTCCCTATAGATGGACAAAGGACAACACAGATCAAATGGGAGAAACTGAGGAGATAATTGAAGTACTTATGGTTTCTTCACCAAAACGCGATGATCTTGTATTCCCAAAGGTACTTGATATACTTTAAATGAAGTTCATTGGTGCAGACAATGAGTGCGTTTGTATATACAATTTAATTAAGCACTTATTTGATAAGTTATTTTCACGAGAGCTTACCACAAATTTGACTATAAAACTTATTAGAATAACGCTCAAAAGAGCTTATTTTGAGAAGTTATATCAAGAAACTTGTTAAAATAAGATAAAAAAAGCCTATGAGAATCATAAGTTGTTTATATAATTTGTCTACTAAACCCCTCTATATTGAAAAGGTTTCACTTTCTTCTCTTGACAGGGTGGATGGGAGGATGATGAGACTGTTACGGAAGCTGCTTGCCGTGAAGCCCTAGAGGAAGCAGGAGTTAAAGGTGTACTGAGAGTAGGTTCAATTTCCCTGTAGGTTATTGAAGTAGTTATAGTCCATCATGGAATGTTTAAGCATACCAATTAGAATTACTGAACAAAGGAAATAACCGTACCTTATTCCATAATCCATATATGAAATGATGATCCAGATATCATTCAAATATTTTGAGTAAGTTTTGGTCTTGAACTTAATGAATAAACATCTCTGGTAACATAGATTTACATGAAGTTTCATTACAGTCACCTGGTTGAGCATTTGAGCTCCAAACTAGTAATAGAATGTAGTTACTCCCAAATCCACCCTTCCAGTGGAGCAAAGATATGAGAAGGATTAGACTTGTAAATAAACATCATATGTCAAGTATGAAACCTTCTGCTATGTAACGAAGTGTTAACTGCAGATATACCTGATTGAAAATCAAGTTAACACCACATTACCTGCGCCTCTCATTTTCTGCTAGTAACTAAAAAATTACTGGTTAAAAATGGAAATTGTTCTTCCATGTAACAATTTCCTATTGGGATTGTGGTAATGCAAACATGATGTTCTTCCTTGCCATATGGGAGTAATTCCATGTTTTTTTTCATTTTCAGGAAATTCCTTTAGGAATATGGGAGTTCAGAAGCAAAAGTAGTCAGGACTTGTGTAGCATGGAAGGAGGTTGCAAAGGGTACATGTTCGCCTTGGAGGTGACTGAAGAACTTGAGACTTGGCCGGAGCAGAAAAACCGTACTCGCCAGTGGGTAAGTGTTATGAATAAATCCTTTAAGCTTTGTTTGAGAGAAGAAGACTTATGTAATGATTATCTTTGTTTGAAAGTTTTTAGATGAGAAGGGGAAGATTTATAACCTTCCAAAACCTTCATGATCACATATTTTTAAGTTCTCCCAGTTTGGGGGTTTTGTGTTAATCCTCCTCTTCCCTTTCCTTCTTCTCTCTTACCTTTCAAACTTTCCTTCTCCTCCCTTCAAATTTCCAAACAAAGCCTAAAAAAAGATTGCGTGATTCAGATCATCACATTATTAACGATTAAGTGCTATGAATAAAAATCCTTGGGGGAATTACATAAATAAAGGGTTTAAAATGTTAAAAGTCCAACAATTACTAGATCTAGAATTCAACATGATTGCAATGTATAATTTTTGACATCACATGAAGCATACTAATACATTTACATTCATGGAACATCTTTAACTGAGTCAAAATGCATATTTTGCTTTTCCTAGTTAAACATAGAAGAGGCATTCAGACTCAGCCGATATGACTGGATGTCTAATGCACTCGAGGAGTTTTTGAGAGTTATGGAAGAGGATAGAAAACTTGAGAAGAAAGACCAGAATGTCGAACCCCCTTCAATTATAGTAGCAGATGTGTCAGAATGTCAAAGTATGCCTCACAACTGCTATAAAAGATCCTCTACAATGCAGCACCATGGTATGCCTCCTAAAGCCAATCTCCTGTCACGTGCCTCTCAAGAGATAGCCATCCACTTTGGTTATTGAGATTATCTGTACACTTCTGCAATGTGTTCTTGTAATGGATAATATTGTGCACTAACTGCTGCAAATTTATAAAGAACAAACTATGAAGTAATGGATTGAATGCACATGCCAATGCCATGGACTTCATTGTTGTAGGTTCTTTCCCTTTCTTTCCTATGAGATAATGATGTAAAATGTGATGGTGAATGTCTCAAGTGTATCTAGACTTAGCAGTTATTTGCTTCTCCCCTGTTACTGAAATGCTTGTAAAATAGCACCATTTGTGAAAATTGAGTAGTGTCATAAAGGCAAAGACTGTGTGCTACTTTTGACAACCTTCAATTCATATTCTTCTTTTTTATTATTTTTTTTTGTCGAAATTCATATTCTTCAAACGTGTCATTTTTAATAGAAATGGATCGAACTTAATTTCCAAAAACCAGCTTAAAAGAAGAATAATCCAAACTTTATAAGAAATATTCTAATTATTTTTCTAGCCAACATAGGATACTTAACACTTTTCACTCAGCACCATCGATTTCATTCTTAACAACACCTATGGTTGGCAAGTGTCACTATCCTTGGGTATCTGTTTCAGTGGCTGTGTTTTCCAAGAAATTTGTCTCTATTACATGAAAACGATTGATTCGTTGAGTAAAGCAGGTTCTTAAAAATTTTCACAAAATTTCCAGGGTGGACCTTGGAACATGGTGAACAATAAAAAATTTGCAAAGGATCAACTTCCACAACAGGCAAAGAACAAATTCTAGAGCAAACAAGCTTAGAATCACACACCTAAAATGAATAGACGTGTCCTGTTGAAATACATCCAAAACAATTTAAGACGACAAGAGAGCTTTTTCTCATATATTAGTTGTCATTAGCTTTCTCAAAAGGCTGAGTTGTTAAATTCAAACACATGAATGATTTTATTTTACAAAGACACACCCTTTGATGCAAGAGCCAATTTGGATCAAACTCTAGAGTCCTAAGTCATAGAATCAAATCATAAAAATTGTGATACCATGAAACCATCTCAAAAGCTTGAAATGTTAGGCGAAAGTAATGGACTAAAAGGCATACAACACAATTAATTCCGATTAAAAATTAAATTTTTAAAAATTTAATAAATCAAAAGATGTCTTCTAATAACTTCATTTAATATTTTTTTAGATTTTTCTTTAATTAAAAGTTATACAATTCACTCTTCTTATCTAATATTTATTTTTAATGATTTTATAAAAATTAGAAGTTATTTTTTATTTGATTATAATTATAAAAAGTAATTCTTATACCCATAAATTGTTGTAGTTTTAGGTTTATTTCTTGAAGCTATTTGAAACAGCTTCTCTAAAAAAACTAAAATCATATTATTTTCAACTTTTGACAAAATCTTAACCAAACAATTCAAAAAACTAAAAAGTGATTTTTTTTTAAAAAAAAGTGATATTTTCCCGCAAAAATCTTAAATAAACGAAATCTAAATCACATTTAGAAGTAGCTATTGTGTTTGTCTTATAAAAATTAATTATAACATTCCAAACTTACTTTCAGTGAAAGTCAAATTCTATTATTATATTAATTATTAAGAAATTAAAAAACTCAATAATAAAGGAAAAATATGTGGAAAAAATAATTGAAAGGGAATGGTCTATTATTCGAAGGATCAACAAAACAAAAATATTTAGCAAAAGGAGTATTATTTTACATTTAATTGAAAGGGAATGATCTATTATTTTCTTGGAATATCTAATACTGTAAGTTGGACACATGTGATCGTGATCTTTCAGTAAAAGTTGAAATTAATGAAGCAGAATGATTAGAAGTTTTAACATTCCAATAAGATTCACATTTTCCAGTAAACTGGACTATAATGACTAGAGAGAGCCATTGGTGGCTTGTAGTTGTAGTAGGCAGGTCCCCATCCCTCGAAATGATCACTTAAGTTGAATATCCAAATCAAACTATTCAATTCAGCACTTCCTATTTCTCTGATTCACGTTTTTTCAAAACAATGAAAAATTAAGCTTCACTGCTCGTGATTTGATAAAAAAAAGAAATTTAAAAAGTATATATATTTAAAGATTTAAATAGCTTCTTGCTTTTTCATTCTTCGCAACATAAGAAACTGGAACCATAAAATGCTGCACATGAAGAAAAGGCAAATTCCACGAGCACAGATTCGTGTTCAAAGAGGTGGGTGTTTCACAGAAAACGACACCATGAACATATCCCTCCTAAATCCTCACTCAAGGACAAAAAGCATGAATCGGATTGGATTGTCGTTTTGCTTAATAACTAAGAGAGAGCAAAGTTCCTCGACATTAACATTTGAAAACTGGTCCTCGTTTGTTTGGTATATTAGGCACTATTCCTCACCTTTGTTTACTTTGTTCTATGAGTACAACACATTGTTTCTAATGAAGTTGCGGCGATGGAAGGAAGATAGATGATGGCACCAATGCAAACAATAGCAAGAAAAGTGTTTATATATATGTAAATATAATAAAGGGATTCACTTTCTTCTGTAAGTCTTTTTTTTCTCAAGCCTAGATACTTACTTTGTTGAATAACTTTATGTAAAATATATATAATTTTTAAATAAATTAATTATTCACAAGTATAAGTTTTATAAGTAATATTTATTTATATATTGAGAAGAACATATTACATTAAAATAAAGTTAATTTATGAAATATGAATTAGTAGTTACATTATATACATTATTATATAAGAGAAGACTGTTATATATCTTGAAGCCAATTACCAACCATTGGAAGCAAATTCCCCAAAACATTTGCAAACTACCTTCTAGGACGAGATAATGTGTCAAAATGGCAAACGGAAGAATTGTGCGTTTTAGCAATTCTGATTTAACCATATTCGTCTATAGTATTGGAGATTACGGTTACAGTTAAATTTAATATCATAGTTAGTTATTTATACAGTTAGTATTTTGTTCATGATTAATTAGGATTTAGTTTCTTTTCTTTTGACTTGTTAGCATGTATTAATTAGGTTTATGTTTTTTATTTCTAATAAAAATTTATTATTTCTTTCTCTTTTTTGTGTGTAGATCACTCTCCCGTTTGCTTGACCTCTAACTTGTGTAAGAATTTTATTTTTCTGTTTGAAACCCAATCTAACAAAATTATTAAAATAATAAGGTCAGATAATGGGGTAGAATTTTTGCTTAAATATTAGTATGCAGAAAAAAGAATTCAACATCCAACATCATGTGTTTTTATACCACAACAAACTATGATAGTGTAAAGAAAGCATCAACATATACTCAATGTTGCCAATGTTTTTAATGTTCCAAACAAATCTTCATCAGATTTTTTGGACTTTTGTTGTCTCTCATGCTATCTACATCGTAAACAAATTACCAAACTAGGTTCTTAACAAACAAATCACCTTTTCATATCTTACATAATAAAATTCCTAAAATCATAAACCTAAAAGTATTTGGTTGCTTATATTTTATTTCAAGCCCTATTACTAACTGAAACAAGATTGATCCTAGATTAAGAAAAGGATATATTATATATGACTTAAAATCAAGAGAAGCTTTCATATCAAGGAATGTAATGTTTTATTAAAAGATATTTTCCTTGGTTGAAAACAAGAAAAAACAAACCAACCCTGCACCTATGACCATTGCAACCAACAACCTAATCAATTTGATAATCCTTTTATTTATGAAAATCATAATCCAACTAGAAAAAAGATAATTGAACCTGATGTTAATGAACTACTTATGCCTGAAAACATATATAATAGTCAACCCCAAAGATCTCTAAGGATTAAAAAGCCTCATTCATATTTGTAAGATTATCATTGCATAGTGTCATCTTCAACAACATGCAATACATCCACTTTTGTCAGGTATCTAATTTCAAAATATATTTCTTATGATTCATTGCACCCTTCACAAAAACATTTTTCTTTATCCATTTTTTTCTTTTGTTGAACCTCAAACCTACTAAGAAGCCATCTAAAGTGATTGTTGAAAAGTTGTCATTAGTAATGAACTTAAGGTTCTAAATGATAACCACATTTGGGTTTTCATAGAACTACTTCAAGGGAAGAAAGTTGTTGGAAGTAAATGGGTGTTTACAACAAAGTATAAGATTGATGACAGTGTGGAGAGACGCAAGGCATGATTGGTGGCAAAAGGTTTCACTCAAGTGGTTGGTTTAAACTACTTGGACACATTTAGTCTAGTGGTCAAAATGACCACAATTAGAACACTATTAGCAGTGGCAACAATTAAAGATTGGACACTACAATAACTTGATGTGAACACAACTTTTTTGCATGGAAACATTGATGAGGTAGTTTATATAGAACCACCACTAGGCCTAGCAATATAAGCTCTTAGTCTTGTCTGCAAGATAGAAAATTCCTTATATGGGCTAAACCAAGCTAGCAGAGAATGGAGCATCAAGCTCACTGAGGCATTGTTGCTTTTAGGATATATTCAATCTAGAGTTGATTATTCTCTTTTCACAAAGAAGACATTAAAAGGAATTGTTGCAATTCTGGTATATATGGATGATTTGATCATAGAAAGGGATAATCATAAGGAGATTGATCAAATCAAACTCCATCTTGATCAAAATTTGGAGTTAGAGACCTTGGATAGTTAAATTTCTTTCTAGGCATGGAGATCTTAACAAATGGAAAAGGAATCAATATTTGGCAAAGAAAGTATGCACTAAAGTTACAACAGAAGACAAGATTGCTTGCATCTAAGTCACAATCTAAGTTGTACAATAGTCCAATAGGTTCAACTGTCAGGCTCCATATAAACCATGAAGATTTTTATTCAAATGCAACTTCTTATAGAAAATTGGGTAGGAGGTTTATATATTTCACCATTTCTAGGCCTGATATCTCATATGTAATTAGTTGGCTGAGTTAATTTCTTGACTCTCAAATCAATCTTCATTATAAGGCAGCCATGAAGATCCTCCGATATATTAAGAGCATTCTTAGAAAAGGATTATTTTTTCTTGCAAAGTCTAATCTTGTTCTTGTGGGTTACAGTGACTCAAATTGGGGAGCCTATTCTGATTCTAGAAGGTCAATTTCAAGCTTCGGTATTTTTCTTGGAGAAGCTATAATATCATGGAAAAGTAAAAAGCAAAGTGTGATAGCCCAATCCTCACCAGAGGCAGAATACATAGCATTTTCCCTTGTAACTTGTGGAGCACAAGGTTATCAAATCTATTTAAGGACTTTAGAGTTGAAGTGAATACTTCTATAAACATATTTTGTGACAACTAATCAATAATTCATGTTGCTGCTAATCATGTGTTTCATGAGAGAACAAA